TTCATCTTCAACTTCATCTTCATCTTCATCTTCATCTTCATCTTCATATTCACCTTCGTCTTCATATTTATCTTTTCCTTTATCCTGATCTATATCTTCATTCTTTTCTCCATTTACGTATTTACCCCCACCATTGTTATTAGGTTAGGTAGTTAAATTTTCCTTGCTCTTTTTCTTTATATTGTTTCTTTAGTGATATCATGTCATGTGTTGAAATTGGGTGTGGTGAGTTGCAGTGTGCAGGGTGTGGGAGTTACGGTGTTATGAATTCAGGTGTGGTGGTCTTAAGAGGTGTGGTGAATTTAGTTGTGGTGAGTTGAGGTGTGGTGAATTAAGGTGTGGTGAGTTAAGGTGTGGTGAGAAAGTTGAGGTGTGGTGAATTAAGGTGTGGTAGATTAAGGTGTGGTGAGTTAAGATGTGGTGAGAAAGTTGGGGTGTGGTGAGTTAAGGTGTGGTGAATTAAAGTGTGGTGGATTTAGGTGTGGTGAATTAAGGTGTGGTGAATTTAGGTGTGGGGAGTGAAGTAGTGGTGGATTTAGGTGTGGGGAGTTAAGGTGTGGTGAATTAATGTGTAGCGAACTCAGGTGGAGTAAGTTTTTAAGCGGAGGTGAGATGATTTGATGTGAGTTAAATTAAGTTAAGGGGTTAAGTTAAGATAAGTTATCTTTATCCTATCTATTCATCTTATCTTGCTATCTATTCATCTTCATCTTCTTCCTCGTCTTGGTCTTCATCTTTATCCTTTCCTTTATCCTGATCTAAATATGTCCATTCTTTTCTTCATTTACATATTCACCCCCACCATTGTTATTAGGTTAGGTATTTAAATTTTCCTTCCTCTTTGTCTTTATATTTAGGTTTCTTTACTTTTATTTTAATTTCTGTATTTATCCCTTTCTTCTTCTCCATACTCAAAATTATCTTCATCCTTGTTTGAGGCTAATCTATTCATGTACATACATACAGTGACGAGCAAAACTGTAACATGGAGTAACACTTTTTATTTCAGCTGTCGCTATCTTTCCAAGTTCTAACGACATTCATACGGTTGTTGTATATTTTTATTGGTACATCTTTGCTTCCTCTGTCATGACGATTTGAAGTCAATTCAACAACATTTACAAAACCAGCAGACAAAAATGTAAATTAAGGCATATGTTACAATTTTGCACTCATATATTTTTAATAACTTTTTGACAATTTTCACAAAAAAAAAGAATTATTAACACAATGTTCAGTATGCTTTTGCTTTATTTAGTTCCTGGTTGCAATTTGGCATACCTAACGTGTATGTCTGTAAAAATTCTGGAGGTATAGCCTCCCATATATCCTTGGTGTGCTTTCACCGCTCATGTACTCCATTGGACGGACTTGGATACTTAGTAAGATGCGCTTTTAGTTGATTTCGCAAATTCTCGATGAGATTCATGTCCTCGGATTATGGAGGTCATTTCAAATTATCAAATTTCTGCTTTTGTTCCAGTCTTTGCGAACATGTGCAGTGTGTTTTGGTTGCTTTTTCAGCAGAAACTCTAATTTTTTTGACTACATCTTGCAAATTTTGTTAAAATATGAACAGATACTGTTCCTTACGCATAATGCGTACAAATGGATCAACAACATTTTTGAAATACAACCCCAAACTATTATTGACCGACCACTGTGATTCACAGTGTGCCTTACATGATGCGCTTAGGCTTAATTTGGGCCTTTGATCCAATACCATGCCCGGCCATCTGATTGAAAGCTATTAATTTAGTCTTGTCAAACCAAATAACCCTCAATTAAATCTTAAAAATGTGTTTTTTTATTGCATTCTGTAATGCCTAACATATCCCAATAGACAACGGTCCGGTTTTCGTGCGATGCAGCAAAACGCTGCCACACTCGCACATGTATTTTGATCAAATTTGCTTTTTTCGTCTTTTATGATCCATTTTCCTCAATTTGGCAATTTTTCGCCTCACTATC